AATGTTTTATATAAATATATACGTATATCAATTTAATTCATTAATAATTTATCATATATAATTTATCAGATATAAGTTATCATACATAATTAGCATATATAATTTATCATAGTTAATTTATCATATATTTATATAGTTATCATATATAATTTATCATATATAATTTATCATATATAATTTATCATATATAAAATTCAATGTTTCTCTTCCTCTTTGATTTCCATCAGAGAATCTCTCTCCTTTTCTCTCGTTTAAATCTTAAACGCGGACAAAAACTCGGGACATATATTTAATTTAGTATATAAAAAAGGCCAACTAATCGAGCATTATTAGATGATATCAACTAAGTATTTATTCTATATAAGATAATACAGTACAAATGATTGTAAGTCGCAATTTTATCGCCGAATTAGTGCATGTCGTGTTAAGTCAAATTACAAAACGTCAGTATATATTTTTTTGATCGCTTCTATTGAGATGTTTGGCCGATCCCATAGATTTCATCGTTAGTATGCGAGAAATTATTGTCGTCATAACGCATTGTAATGTTCGAAATGAGAGGTCATGTTACGTTGGTACGGTCTAGTAATTGGGAAGGCGATAAAACTTACAATCATTCGTACTGTATTATCTTATATAAAATAAATACTTATCATCTAACAACGCTCGATTAATTGGCCTTTTTACATACAAAATTTTAATCAATAGGCGAATACACGTTTTTAACATTTCACATATTTAATGTTCAATCGTTCCGATCGGAGAAGCACGACGACGCGAAAAAAAATATATTTGATATATAGCATAATTGCCCGTCTTTCTTCGACAAGGCCGCTCGTCGGCGAACGGTCACGTCGAGGCCGGAAGACGAGAAAGAAGGAGAAATATCATCCGGGCGCGATACGTTCGTGCGGTATATAGGGTAGCGCGCGCGGAAAGATCTATCTCTCTCAGATAGTCTGGGTGCTCTTTCCTGTAGCACGAAGGATGGGTGGCCTTCGCGCGCTGAAATGGCAAAACAGAAGACACGGGCGAGGGAGGAAGCGAGGGGTTAGGGGGTTGGAGGCCGCCGTTGAAGGTGGTGGCGGAGGAGAAGGGTGGCAACACCCGGGGGTGGGGTGGGAGGAGGGGGGGGAACTAGCGAGGTAGCGACGTCACCACGGAAATCAAGAGTAATGCCAACACGAAACTGCACTACCCCTCGCGCACCCTTGCCAACCCCTCTTTCGCATCCCGTCTTGCTCTCACCACTCCCCTCCCCTTTCCCCCGTCGCCCTTCCCCAACCCCTTCATCCCCGTGCGCGCCATCCCATCCGTTTCTCCGGTTCTTTCATTTCTCTCACCCTCGGCGCGCATCCCTCTCCACCACGTTTCCTCTCACCACGAGTCTGGTGGTGCGCCTTCTCTCCCGCCTCCGCGAGTCACCTCACCGATCTCACCCACCCCCGGGGAATAACCCCCTCGTCGGCGGCGGCTCTCCCGCGGTGAGCGCCGCGCCGCCGGTGAACCTCAGTGAGACGGAAACGATAGCAGCTCTAGCTCCCACGAGCACTCGCTACGACTAAGGGCGCGTTGCTGGATTCGGAGAATTCGCTTGTCTTCATCCTCTCTCTCTCTCTTTTTCTTTTTTTTTTTTTTTCGCTCCCTGCCGTTTTTCCTACAGGCGAGAACCTACCTTCCCTACGTTCGAACAACGTCTTCGTAAAACGTTCAAAAAAAAAAAAAAAAATACAATTGTTACAAAAGAGCATGTGCTCTTGAGATTAAATCTTTTCAGCGATAAATCTATCTTGCGCGTGCTAAGTAGTTTCATTTTCGAATCTTGTACGTCAACGGGATTTTTTTAGCTAAATAATTTTAAATATAATTTGCAATTCAATTATGAAAAACTTGGAAAATTATTTTGTTAGAGAGCTTCTCGTAATTAAATTTTTGATTTTTATATAATGTCCAGTGGTTGAACGTTCAAAAGAAAATACAATTGTTACAAAAGAGCATGTGCTCTTGAGATTAAATCTTTTCAGCGATAAATCTATCTTGCGCGTTGCTAAGTAGTTTCATTTTCGAATCTTGTACGTCAACGGATTTTTTAGCTAAATAATTTTAAATATAATTTGCAATTCAATTATGAAAACTGGAAAATTATTTTGTTAGAGAGCTTCTCGTAATTAAAATTTTGGATTTTTATATAATGTCCAGTGGTTGAACGCGTCCTAATGTATGAACGATGTGCAATATATATTTTATAATATCAAGTTTTCTAAGAATACAGTTACAGTTACAAATATATTAAAATTAAAATTAACGTTTCTTAATATTTTTAAAAAGAAAACAGATTGAAGAAAAAAATTATTTTTTTAAATAACGGCTTACTTTTATTCATTCTTTCAATAGCTTCTTAACTATCTAGTAAGAAACGTCATTTAGTACTTAAGTGTGTGTATTTTTTATATAAACGCTATTATAACAAGTAAAAGTTATTTTGATTCGTAAAAAAGTTACTATTAAATTAAAATTTTATTTATTAAACAAATTCATTAAATATGATAAATTTAGTGTTTATTTACTGGTACTCAAAAATTCAATATTGCCTAGTTGTATCGACCGTTTGTTTATTTATCGTTTTTTTCGTTTGAATCGTAATTTTTTGTTTCAATTTCATTAAAAATGTAAGTATTTAATATTTAAAAAATTACATTAATTAGTTAAAATTAAAATTTAAAAAAAAACAAATATATTTAGATATAATAACGAAAAATTTAAATAGAAAGAAAAAATAATAAAATTTAATCAATTTTAGAATAAAATCCTTTCATAAATCTAATTTTATTTTAAAAATCTAATAATTTAGTTATTGTCTAAATATTTAACTTTCGATTTTAAAAAATTATGACAGATAACCTTTGTAACCAAAAATTGTATGTGAACATTTGTTTTATTTCTGTTATATTTTAGATAATTCGAAGATAATGCCGAAAAGAAGAACAAGAAAAAAACTTCTGTATAGACAAATTATTCTATAATTATAACTTTGCTATGTTCAAATATTAGGGTAGCTTCGTTCAACTATTAGGACAAACGCGTTTTTATCGTTTAAACACTGGTACTTTTACACAGCTTCATATTTTATTATATTTTATATAATAAAATTAATAAAAACAATTGTTTGTATGCTTTTTAAACAATAAAGATATCAGTTTACAAGATAAATGCAAATCCTTAAGAAAATTTCTTGTTTTTATATAATAAAAATATTAACAAATGAATTTGTAACCTTAATCGTTCAACCACTGGACGTTTACCTTATATGTATAATAAACTTGCCTTATATTTCTAATAGAAAGTTTTATATTAGAAATATAATGCAAATTTATTAATATCAAATTTTCTTAATATAATACTTGGCAAAATAATTTGGATAATTTCAATAGGATAATTTTTGAGTGGTCTCATGTTGATAAAATATTTCTTTTAATATTAAATATAATTATGATGATGAAGAGATGCCTGTGTACAAAGAGCACGTTGGACACTATGTTGTGATTCGAATACGAAAAACGAAAGTGCGGACTGGTTTTTCCGGTGAAATCCCACTCTCACGAAAATGTGGCCATTCGTATGATCGGCTATATCCCCCATGTAGCTCTCTAGCAACGCGCCGCAAAACGTCTTTTAATATACACTATATCTTCGAGGGGCTCTGTATGTTTTTATTCTTACAGCCTTCTCGCTCCTTCTCTACGAGAAAACCGAGACAAACTAGTTCCCTCGCAAATCCGTCACGATCTGTAGCTGTACGCATTATTGCTTCGCATTTATTTGATTCCATTATTCAAAAAATAATATCATTGAACTGTTTACTTATATTAGATTCAACAAAAATTTGCAGGCTTACATATTAATATATTTAAAACAACTTATCTTTAAAAAAATTAAATACAAATCATGTTGTAAATTCTATATCATTTACGTCCATTTTTTAAGCTTTGATTGAATCATTATAAAAAGAAGAGTAAATATTTCTTGTTAATTGCTTTAAATATTATTGCAATAATTACGATTATACTTTTTTATCCTTAATTCGCTTGTTAATGTTTTTTACTCATTAAATTTCTATACTTTTAAGGAATATCTTATATAAATATAATGTATGTGACATACGTTATATTTATATAAGACGCTTCTATAACACATGTGCACGTTATTATTTAAATTAAATAAACGGCGAGATATTTTTCGTGCTAAGAGACCAGAAGAATGCAGATTTCGCGTATTTTCAAATGATCTCTTTACATTACATTCATACATTCGAAGGAGAATGAAAGAAGCCAAAAGAGAGGCCGGAATGCTAAAGTAGGCGAACTGCAGAACGGATCTCGTCTACTTATATTGCAACAGATTAAATTAATTCTGGTAAATTAATTGGTAGTTAAGGTATTTAGCGTTAAGTGAGAATCTCCACCTTCTCTTTTCTACTTTTACTGGCTAGCCTTACTTACTGTTTTTGTTCGCACAATCTTCGCGCAATCACTTCCTCATTTTCGTCTCTTTCTTATAGTTTGTTTCATTCCACGTTTTCTTCTTTTCTTTCTTTGCACAGGATTACGAAATAACAGATTAGTACGAAATTTGATTTTAAAATAAGAAAATCAAATTTTGGATTATTATAAGAATCAGAAAATAAGACTGCATCTTAAAATATAATCTCATAATTATTCATTATAATTATTAAGCGACTTTAAAGATTTTAAAAGAGCAATGACAATTTTTTTTAATAATGTCTTTTATTTGATAAATTAAATATAATTATTATAAATATAATAAATTCATTATTTTGTATATTTATTTCCAAACATAATAAATAATAATGAAAAGGAACACATATATATAAAGAAATATTTCAGGAATAATTTTAAATAATGTTTTTTATTAATAATATAATAAAATTATATACAAATAATATTAGTATACCTTATCTAGTTTTAAGTACAATATTTTTAAAAATTATTCAACACTGTCGTACATTGTAATATAATAACTATTCTCAAAGTTAAAATCTTTTTAATTATACTTTTCTATAGTAAATCTTAATCTATACATAACTCTTTTGGCAATGCAATGTCCTCTGTTGACGAAACTAACGACTATGTTCTAAAAACTTTAAAATGTATGAAACTCATTCTGAGCTTACATATAGTTCGCTTCTACACCGATGTTCGGTAGAATAGTATCGATTAAGCAATGCAGCTTACTTTATTGATATCTTCCCGACACAGTCTTGTTTTAGTACCAACTAAAATAGACAGTAATTCTCAATATCGACTACTGCATGTAGTCATGTTTGATATTAAAATCGATCGTATTATCACGTATCAACATTTTCTATATAATTTTTTCATCATTTTCTGCTAACTCTGACCGAATTAACTGTGCCAATCGTTTCATTGCCTAAAACATATACATAAAAATATAGTTCATTTATTTAGTGTAATTATATATAGATAAAAATGTTTTTAATCTATAAATTCATTCACCGAAAATAAAAATAATTACTTTATATTTAATCAAATAAAAATAGTATGGAACAATAAAATAAATAAAATAATCATTTTTGAATTGCCTAAATTTGATAATCTAAAAATGTCTAACTTTACGATATTTGTTTAATTTTTACTTTAATTGATTATGAATAGTCATAATCTGTGATTAAAGTGTAGAAAAAAATATACATGGATCCCCAATTTCTAAGACATTATGTGCGATAAATTTTTGAAAATATATTGTGAGTAAAATATATAAAATATAATATGTAAAATACATAAATATAAATATATAATTTTTAAGTACCAGATTCATCTCCTCATAAGAAGCCTTGGAAAAACTCGCTCTGATGGCATTACAAGGTTTCGCAGAACCTTTCACAAATGCAGCGCCTGGTGTCATGATGACACCATTCGTGACACCTCGCTGCATCATAAGTTTCCAAGTATTTTCGATTCCTCGTACTTTTATCCATAAGAAGAATCCACCTTTTGGCACATTGAAATCTGCCAAACCTGTAAAGAAGTCCGAAACTCTCTAGTTTTCCAATTACATTTAGCAATTATATCTATATAAATGTTTCCGTATAAAGATAAACGTAATTTTTTATAACATGTGATAGCAGCGAGAGTAAAGTTGAATTATGTGGTTTGCGCAAAAGTACTATATTATCTCGTTATTCCGAGTATTTATTGATTAATTATATATTTTCTCCTATACATATATATTTCTTTTTTTACTAATTTTTCTATATATCTTTATACATTTTATAACATATATAAAAAAAATCATACATTTTACAGTAATACAATTATTATTATAAAAGAAGACAGAAATATCATTAAATATATTATCAGATATATATATATAAAGCAATATACACTTACCGTTCAAATGTTTGCGTGCCAGCATTGAAATAACATCCCTTCGTTCTTTGTAGAAATACCTTAATCTCTTATAATGTTTCATTAAGCCGTCATAACCCCAGATTTTCAATAACTGATACAGTATCACCTAAAGTCAAGGAATCGGCAACTTATTTCCGTGATAGCAAGCAATCAATGTTTATGTGATAGAAATGTTTGCGATAAGAACTGACACGCGCCACTGTCAGTTTGATTGAAGGAGGCATACGCCGGCTTCGCGCGATGTTTCATCATTCTGGATAATATTTACAGTTATCGCGTCTTTTTTTTTATTTCAATATAATCTTCCCGATTTTTTTTTTTTTACTTCTACAGTCAAGTATAAACACTCGCGTTTTATAAATATATATTTTGCGCTGATACGCGCGACAAACGTCAAAAATTAATAAAATTATTAATTAATAAAATTGATTAAATGTACGCGTTCCAGACTGTTGAATTAAAATAATTAACGAAAATGCATGCGATAGATTAATATGTATTATCAGTGACAGAAAACATTTTTGGTGATCTAAGAATACAAGGGTTTCTGCGAAGGGTAAGGGTTGTTCTACCAACCTGAGATAAGGTAGGAGCGTGAAGATGACTGCTCTGCAAATGGAGCTCTACACTAGCTATCAGAGGGGTTGTGGCGGTTATAAATCCTATTCTGAGACCGCTACTGATTACCTTCGAGAATGAATCCAATCTGATCACTCGGCCTTCTGTATCTAGCGATAAGAATGATTTTGGATCTTCCTAAAAAGAACATAAGTTTCTTTTTAATCACCATATGCTTTTTTATCTTCGCAAAATAGTTTCTCCGACACACATATCTAATATAGATATAAGATTTATTTAAATTATATAATTTTGTATAAAATATATCATTACATTATAAATTCAAATATCTATAGTATTCTATGTTAAAATAATATTACTAAAAATATATATATATATATATATTATAAAAAAGATTCTTGTTATACGAGAATTTTTATTGATATGCATTCTTAATCACTGTGATAAATGTGCTCGTAATTATATTAAATTGTCCGATACATGTGCAAATTATAATTAACAGATATCTCTTTTTATTTCAGACACGTAGCAAATTTTATAACTTTTATATAACTTTAAATTTTATATAACTTTGAAAGAAAATAATCTTTAAAATTGATTAAAAATCAACTATTTCTCTTTTATGAAATTTAATTCATATTTATGCACAACAAATTTTTTTACAGACAAGCAGCGTAGAAAATGAATCTAATTTTCAATTGCAATCTGCAGATTTTTAAATATTTTAATATTTTAGTATTTTAGTTCTTTAATTTTTTAATAACTTTCCATATAACCAATTGCTTAATAAAAAATTTATACATGTATATTTATTTTATTATGTTTATAACTCACATTTATACGGTTAACATCTCGACTTAAATTCATATATATTATATATACAATTTTTGCTTCGCATAAGAAGAAATTGCACTTACCTGGTCATAATGCACAAAATGATAAGGATCATCGTCAAGTATCAAGAAATTGTATTCGCAAGCTATTTTGTAAATTTCTTTTCGTCGTTCCAAAGACACAATGATGCCAGTAGGATTTGTGCCCGTAGGATTTATATACATTATTTTCGGCATTTTTGCACCGGAAATCTCACGATTCTTTAGAATTTCTCGGAGCATTTCCGGTATGGGACCATCGTCATCTTGTGGGATTATTACAAATTCCGCTTTGTGAGGTGCTACCTATGATTAAAATCGAGAGCGCTCGTAGTAACGTTGAAATAATAAATCGCGTAAGTTTTACATGTTGTTTTATAAAAAAGCTGGTTTTATAAGGATAAATTATATAAAAACTTTAATTCTTTTTATTAATATAACGCGTGATCTAATATTTTTTATATTATTCTTCAAAAATATAAAGAATATTATCTATTGCGGATTCACATTGCACATATTGTGATATCAAAAATAAAATCAGATTGCAGGATTTTGTCAGAAATATCGCTATCATGCCAACTATCATACATCGCAAATATTAGAAAAATAAAAAAAATAAATAAAATGATACGTGCAAAATTCTCTCTTTCTTTAATGATAATATCTATATATATTACTAACCACAATTTCGACGCCGGGATAGAAGGAGTCGGGGACTAAAATCGGATCACCAGTGCCGATTATAGCCTCCAAAACCTTGCTAAGCCCATCCTGAGACCCCGCAACGACGACTATGTCGCGACTCTCCCATAAGGGTGGCGCGTGTGCCCTCCTCTGGAATTCCCTGAGGGCCTGAAACCAATTTGACGTTCGACGTTGTTAGACACATTGTAGCGCCGATTCCCTTATCTCGAAAACGAAAAATTCCGGATGTAACGACACGAACGATTACACAAGAAATATAAAGTCACGCGATACACTACTCTGTACGTGTGATATAATGAAAAGAGCATCGCAACTTAATTGATGATTCTCGCATATTTTTATTCTTCCCGTTTTTAAAAAATTTTTTTTTATTTTTATTGTAACGTAGTTCCTTTAATCGACGAATTATTTAAACGTGACATTATGCGCTACGTAAATTATGTGTTGTTATTATTCTAAAAAATGTTACAAAATGTTTTGGTGAATATAATTTTTAGAAATTATTTATATATCATTATATATTAAATAAAGATATGAAAATGATTTTCTACCTGTACGAGAGGAGGATAACCTTGCGTAGGTATATATTGGAGAGCAGCGCCTAATTCGGTCCCGTTGAGAACGAAGGATGAACCGTCGTAAAGTTTAACTGAGATTTCCGTGAATGGGAATGTATCTTCATTGGGCATTCCCTCTGCCAAAGAAACGGTGCTTTTTGGCGCTGAATACGCTATTTTAGCTAGAACAAATAAACAATTCTCGTTGTCACAACTTAAAGTTTAAATGAGATTTTAATAGATTATAAAAATAATGTATATAATATCATATTTGTTAATCAAGACAAAATATTAAAATTTAGTCAATTCGATATACTAACGAGTAATTTTACAATTTTTATAAATGAATTTATTAATTTTACACAATCTACTTTATAGATATTTTATCATTTCCAATTTTGTCAATTTATCTACCAAGCAATTGTCGTTGATTAAATATAAATTGATAGAATTGTTCGCTGATTTATTCTTCATTCATCATTAATATCGCGATTAAACTATAACAATAAAAAAGAAGTGTTCTTACTTAGCTCTCGCGTTGTAGCTGGCCGTCTGCGTCTCGAGACTTCCGTCTTAAAGTAAGAATAATCCATTTTTCTATTAGAGATTATATTCTCTTCAACAGGTCCGTGCAGCATTTCGATCGATTATCGCGCACAAATTCGTATGTCGTTGTTTGAAAATTACTTTTAGCTGTACAATTACAATTAACTATCGTTAATTAATTAATCGATGTGCTAATTGACTTTAATTTTAATTTTCACAATCTCCGAAAAACATTTATAATGTTGCTCAAAGAATATGTACTTTCTATATGATTATCAACAACAATAATGACTCGATACGTAGTCTTTTTGTAAGTATCGTCTCTTGTCACTCAACAAGGCAAATGAGCCTCATGAAAAACACTTTCTTTCAAAGTGACTGCTTGTGCTACCCTTGTCAACTGACGGCGCTCTTGGTTAAGCCCGCTTTTATATTTTGTGATAACACATTGGTTGCGTCAGATAATATTAACATTGGGAAAGTAGCATGAGTTACATATAATAGAAAATAACTAACAGATAATTACAATCTGATATCTGTCCCGGGCGAGCTATCTTTCTCTAACATCTATACATTTTTTCCTCCTATAAACGTAAAAAGTTTTTTAGGATAATATTTAAGTTTTCGAAGAATGCAGACTTATTCAATAAAAATGCATATTTATTTTTTAAACATATAAAATCAGATTAAAATATCAGGAAATACCAGAGTACACTCAGAAAGAACGGGAAAAGGCAGAAAATATTTTTGAAATTTCCCCTCGCACACAAACATACACACACATATACATATGTATACATATATGTATATACGCATGCATATACAACGTGCATGCGTGGATAGAAATGAGATAAAGAATCACTTCATTGGCAATATTTGTGAATATTTAAATCTTACACATGTATTATATATTTATTATTTTAAAAAGACAGTAACAATAAAAATGAAATCGGTTCTTTTTCTCTCTTGACATGCGGTTCTCGCCTATTTTTTCTTATTAACTTTCTTGATAATTTCTTTCTTTCTTAATTTTTTGAATTTATAACGATCGTATTATCGCGCTACCTGAGTCAACAATACACAATTTTCACGAGAGGACATAGTAGTAAATGGCGCGAATACTTTGCGTTTTTCTCAAAATTTTTTATTATGCACTTTCGCGTTCCAATTTGCTGCTTTCGTAATTTCTCCGGAGCATTGAACGCGCAGATAAAATAATAATCTCCCAAATACAGATGTTTTCAGAATTAGTAAGCATAAATCCATATATCATGTCAAAACATCTTAATGTAACATGTATTTTTTTGCAACCACTGGCAACCACTTATCGCACTTTTGTAATTAGGATAACAAACCGCCGATATCTAATACTCTGTTAGAATTTCGGCCAATTGAAAATAAAGTACACGATGATAAGTTGATCAAATATTCATTATATCAATATCATTAATATATCATTTTATATATATATATATATATATATATACTTTACATATATGTATATCACTTTTTTATTCTAGCTTTTTATTCTTGGATAAAATAAATTTACGTATGAATTTCTTAGTGATAACAAAAAATAAAATATAAGGATCATAGAAATATCTTATAAAATAAATTTTTAATATTGCCTGATTTATATTTAAATTATCAACACCATCGATTTCTCAATACGAATAATGCAAAATAATGACAATCATCTCAGATGTAATCCTGAGCTTGTTTGAGTTAAAAGCACATATTTTTCTTTTAAACAAATTAATGACAGCAGAAACAAATAATAATTTCCTAAATAAAAATTTTTTAAATTTTCAACATATGAACGTATGAAGAAAAAAATTTAAGAAAGCGTAATCACACATACGCACATTTATTATCTACTTGCTAGTCATACTTTTTAGTCAAAAGATTTTCATTCAAAATATTTTTATGTGAAAAACAGGAAATTGATCTGAAGTATAGTTCTTATCTTAATATTAAGAAAGCAACACTGAAAAATATATGTGTGTTAAGTATGATGTAATTGAGTAAATGCATATATATATGTATTATATGTATATATGAATGAGTGATAAAAGCACGTATTGATAATCTCACGCATTTGGATACAATCGAGGGAGAAAAATCTCACTCTTATCATACATCAAATAATTGTGCCAAGGAATTATTTGTCACCAATTATATCCTTATAAAGTCAACATTTCGGTTATTTGGTTTTGATGATCCTTATCGACACGATGACGAAACTTTTTCGTTTTGCGCGAAATGAGCAAAATACGCAAATCTCAGCAATTGTTACGATATATATTTGATAAAATATTGCATAATATCTTCTTATATTTCAGTATCAAAAAAATACTATAAATACCTTGCCAAATACTAACAAATTGTAAGAAAGGATGGCGAGAATTTTGGGGAATTTTATATTATGGGAGATCGTCTTTTTCCAATTTATATTTGACGATTATTTATATGATTTATTTTTTAACACATATTTATTTATATATTTAATAATTTTTTTGATATTTTTTAATAACCAATATAGATAAAGTAGACACATATGGAACATTATTTTTATTCAGTTTAAAAAATTTTTTTATTAAGGTAAATACTTTTTTTATTACTATAAATATATTATTTTAAAAAATATAATTTTGTTAATCTTCCGCTTCATTCTATAAAAAATCAACGATAATAAGAACTTTGTTAATTCTTTCTAACAATGGTTTAAATACCTATGACTGCTGAAAATGTATACAATGGTCTTAAAATTTACTTGTTATTAAACTTGTAATTAAATGTATTTGTAAAACGCGTCATTCGTGAAAAATAATATCATGCAGAGAAATCCCCCACTATACTCTTTGCTTACAATTCTCGACAACTTGCGTTGATCTAGCAGTTGAAATTTCATCAGCTCTATTCTGATGCAACAGTCAGCCGGAATTTACTTCGTTACTTTCACTGCAACGCATAGAGCATACTGATGATATGAAGAAAAAGATCGAAATAAAGGATGATGAAAACGAAATATGTTTCTCGTAATTGTGTGGTTTGCGTCATCTCACTCTGCTGATTATAAAATTGCAAAATTTTTTCTCTAGCTGTATATTCAAAGTATTTTCCGTACGTCAGAAGATCGCGTGACACATTAACAGACAATTGATAATTGTAGAGGTAAATATATTTAATTGCAGATAAATAGTAATGTAACTTTAAATTCTACGTTGAATTAAATTGCTCTTTCAATTGCTTTACACGCATGCCGCGTATACGCGCGCGTTATAACAGTGTTAAATTTTGCAATTAGGTATATATATATATATATATATATATATATATAGATGGTTCAAAAAATATAAGAATATATTTCTATTAATTAAAACAATTTATTAAATATATACACAATCGATAAAACGAGAATTCGCAATTCGATTCAATTTGGCATTATTGATATTGTATAGAATCCGCGATTGTTCTCCTCCCACATGTTTATCATTCACGAGAGCGATGTAACTTATCCGAATCATGGGCGTGCGCCACCGCGCACAAATGTGGGGATATTGCTCATACGCGCGATGCGTGTGTTTGCACGCGTAATCGGTCGTTAATAACTGACATCGGCCAATTGCAAAATGGTTGAAAAGTCCGATAAAATGGCAATACGTCAAACCAGCAGCATCCAGCCGGATGACGAAACGGCGTCGAATATTTGGGTATGTGAGAGAGATGTGTGATCACGATCAAACCAATACCAAAAATTCTCAAGTTGAGTGCGCGAGCTGGCATTAATTAATAAATGATGCGTCAGAATCATAAACCTAAAATCTAAAACAGAAGGAATTAGAAAAAATGTTACAAAACATCATATCTCTAATTACGTTACGTACTTTGTACATAAGTGTAATATTCGATGAAAAGGATTATCTTTTTGGGGATTTATCTTGTCTGATTTTTTAAAGAAAATATTTATATTACTTAAATCACTAATCAGTAGTGTGTTGAATAAGATAATGATACTTGAAGATAATTGATGCTTGTTTTTGCTGAAACAAGTTGCCACGCAAACTAAATTTGAAATTATACATACATGCATACAACGCACGTATTTTTTACAACTTTTATTAAAAGTTTTTTCAAAGATATCAATATCAAATTACTTGCGCAACCCTTTGCGTAATACAGTTGCCTGTTGTCAGGCATAGCTGCATTGTCAAGTTCAGTCATTATTGTATTATTAATAGTTAAATAAAATGCATTTGCTTTGAGATAACCTTTGACCTCATTGTCAGTATTGTTACATCTGTTTAAAGTTTTTTATACATTTCATGTGAGCTACTTTATGGGCGCAGTCAAACATCTATGCACAGCAAAAACAAAATGTGGCATAGATTTTTAACTTGTCAGACTATCCTAAAATTTGAATTTTATATAATTAAGAAACCATTCCGTTCCACAAATTCTTTCAGGTATCTTAAACGCATTTTTAATGGATTAACATACATTTTTATTTTACAAGAAAGGACTTTGTAAAAGTAAATGCTTGCAAAGTTTATACATATTAAAATATTTTTTTAAAAATATACAGAGTATTTCAAAAAGAGATGGTCAAATTTTAAGAGCATACGCTACTCATCATAAGGATAAAAAAAGTCATATAAATATGAATCCGGAAACGCTTTTTTTATAAATATTTTTCATTTACAGTAAACTTTGGTAAAAACATTTTATTGAATAAATTTCTTGAGTGATTTTTTTTCGCTTCAGTACATGTATTGCATCGATCTCATGAATTGTCGATGATGCTAAATAATTCTCGATTCTCTTATTAAGTCACACAAAGCGATAATACAATTTCGGAACATAGCAACAGGCGTGTCATAAATCAGAAACTTAAATATCTTCATAAATCAAAATTTAAGCGATTTAATTCGATAAATTTTTATCTAATAGAAGATGAATAATATTTCTCTCAGCCTTATAATAAGTAGAATATGTTAGAAAAATTTATATATATTTTTTAATTTAAATATTGTTTTACTCGCTATATTTTTTTTATGTTATAAGTTTATATATATATTTGTCGTTAAAGATGACATGGAAACATAGTTCGACTCGCGATTCTAAATATAAAATTTTGGCACGATGACTTAAATATATATAATCATATATTTTTTTCTTTTAACATCTCTGAAACGCGCAACTCGGCTAACACGATAACACGATTTTTCTCGCGCCACACCGATATGATGATCTTCCTGCCTTTGTTGAACGGAACTTAGCAAGACGTCAGAGAGTGCTAAGATAAGTACTGGAATAATAAAGTCCGACTTTTCTTTTCGACGCGAGACCGCGAAAATAACAGCATCTACCGCGGGTTATCGTTACATTTTTCGTTCAGCAATCAAGAAGATTTG